ATTGGAGGAGATAGAGACTTCCCAGAAGAAAGAATTTTCTGTCTGAACTCGGAAGACATTTATGACAGAAAAAAATGTGTACAAGGGTTTGGAGATGAGAGGGTGAGCATACAGTGAGAGAAGAGACAATGGGGCTAGGGAGTTGGTGAGAGATGCACTGAGGGCAGCTGAAAGAGCCTTCCTTATGCCATTTTAGAGATTCTTGGCTTTATTGTGTGTTTGTTTTTTTTTGTTTTGGTTTGGTTTGCTTTTTCGAGACATGGTTTCTCTGTACTTTGGAGCCTGTCCTGGAACTAGCTCTTGTAGACCAGGCTGGCCTTGAATTCACAGAGATCACCTTCCTCTGCCTCCCAAGTGCTGGGATTAAAGGTGTACCTACGCCACCACCAAGTCGGGTTTTTTTTTTTTTTTTTTTTTTTTTTTTTTTAAAGAAAGAGTTTTTTAGCTACAACGGAGAAGAGATTCTTCAGGCACCTGTTGGGTTAATTAATGCAAGAAATTCTGCAGCAAGGAAGCAGAGAAAAGTAAACTTCACAAGATAAAGAAATCTGAGAAATCAGAATGTGGTTTAAGATTTGGTTTGGACCTCAAGGTGTATAACAGTACTGTTCAAGAAGGTATGAGATTATAGAAGAGGTTTGGGAAGAGGATAGGTTCAGTTTTGGGTAAGTAGGGGCTGTCATTAGGTATTTCAAATGGGACTGTTTAGTAAGTCAGTGAATATTCGGGGATATAAAGAAGACAGATCACCATATTGGTGGTTGATAGTGATATAAATAAAACAAGAATGACTTTAATTTTTCGAGACAGGATATTTCTGTGTAGTTTTCGAACCTGTCTTGTAACTCGAGCTGCAAACCAGGCTGGCCTCAAACTCACAGAGGTCTGCTTGCCTCTGTCTCCCAAGTGCTGGTAATAAAGGCGTGGGCCACAACCCACCTACAAGAATGACTTTTAAAGGAGAGCAGAGTGTGAGGAAATGTAGGCTCTAGTGCATAAAGCTGAAGCAAAAGCACCTGGGGAAACTATAGAGTAAGTACAGAGAAGACTAAAACAGAGTTGTAGGAATAAAGTTAGCAGCATCAGAAAAGCTCTGCAGGAAATCAGAACTCATGGGGTTGTACTGGAAATGGGTTGCATGCCTATAATCCAGCATTCTGAAGAGCTGAAGTAGGAAGATTGCTGCTAGCTTGTAGCCACTTGGGGCTCAGCACCACGCCATCCAGGATTATGTAGTGAGACTTTGGCTCAAATAGAACAAACAAACAGAGGTTGGGAGATAGCTTATTTGTGAAAACCCATGAGGAACTGAGTTTCATCCTCATAATCTAGGACCTAGGTAAAAAAGTGGGGGCTGGAGAGATGGCTCAGTGGTTAAGAGCATTGCCTGCTCTTCCAGAGGTCCTGAGTTCAATTCCCAGCAACCACATGATGGCCACAGCCATCTGTAATGAGGTCTGGCGCCCTCTTCTGGCATGTGGACATACATGGAGGCAGAATGTTATATAATAAAATCTAAAAAAAAAAAGTGGGCATGCTTGTTATCTCAGGATGGGGAGACAGACAGGCAGATCTTGACCCATTTCTACATTACATAAGAAGAAAACTACTCAGAGAAGTGAACTGACTTGGGATATATATGTCTAGATCTGTTTTGAGACAGGGTTTCACTAATTTGCCCAGACTGGCCTTGAACTTTCTATGTAGTTGAGACTGGCTTCAAACTTAATATTCCTGCCTTAGCCTCCTGAATAGCTAGAGTATAAGTATAAGCCTGCACTACTATATCCAGCTAGTTTTAAGTTTTTTGTTTAAGAGTGAGTGTGTGTGTGTGTGTGTGTGTGTGTGTGTTCATGCCCACGCACGTGGAAGTCAGGTCTCCTTCTACCATATGTGTCCTTGGATCAAACTCAGGTGATCAAGGTTGGTGGCAAGTGTTTTTATCCATTGAGCCATCTTGCTAGCCTATTCCGTACGTTTTTGTAAATGCATAAATTTTGTAACTGATCCATCAAGATGCAGGACAAACTGGGTATGGTGTTGT